ATTGATAGCCGATGTGGACTATAGAGCCGTGGTGATTGATAGTGAGGCGACGCTTGCATCGAGGCTCCGTATTGGGCTGAGTCTTATTGATATTAAGGTGGCGCGTACGCCAGGCCTCACATTGGGCTAAGTGGTTTTGTCTATCCTTGTAATAGGAAATTACCCTCTAAGTGATCTAGTTTCTACTTGTTGCTTGATTTAGGAGCCACATATATATAAGGTGAAGAGTGTATATGTCTATCTAGGTTATGTCCATATCCGATATATGGTAGGCTTATGATTATGCTTTATTTGGACTATGTGGGTTTCTTATTCATGTTTCATTGATTCTATGACTACGTGATAACTTGAAATTGTGGCTTAGAAGCATGCATAGGGTTATCACTAGTGAATTAGGCATAAATGATTGTTTTGCCACATTGAGATTCTTTTTCGAGCCATAGTCATATACTTGTCTTATTGATTTATAATTTGGTAGTTAAATGACTTATTTTATTCATCTCTAATACTATGAAAAGACTTTTGAATAATGAAATTGTTTATTGATTGTTGAGATAATTGAATTATATGATTAGCTATAGCCATTTTTTCGTCATGTGTGCTTTTATCCGCATTTTTATTATTATAATACAGTGCCTTTACCTATGTTATCGGATAAATATCTCTATAGGTTTGAAAGCTGAATATTGTGGAAAGATAAGAATTTTGGCACCACGAATATTATGAACATATATTTGTTATTGATGATGTCATGTGGATCGGGCGTTACGCCGCCATGGGTATTAATTTTGGATCGAGTGGCATGCCATCATGGATATAATATATGGATCAGGTGGCATGCTTCCACAAGAATACTTCAGAATTGGGTTGCACGCTGCAGCGACACTTGGATTTAGTACCATCGCTTCGGAGTAAGGTAATTACATGTATTACTTTGGGCCCTGAAGATGTATGTTACTCATATTGGTATTGATTTACACACTATGTCAATGTTGGGTTTATGGAGATATGTGCCTAAACTCATGCATCAATTTGTATTTTACCTAATTGTTATTTGACTCGTATCATGATTGTGAAAATTTGAAATATCTGATGTTGTGTGTTATCTCTTGTTTAGAAAGCATGTTTACATATCAGTTTTATTGTGCTTCTAATGGTAGCCTTGATTGATAATATCATATTTTATTCAATATGTTGATTATGCCTCTTATGATAATTAAGCTAATAGTAGGTCTCACTATTGACCTCTCGTAACAACTTCTTCGAGGTTAGATTTAATAATTATTGAGTATCGTATTTTGTACCCACACTATACTTCGGCATATTTTGTGCAGGCTGTGAGACTGATTTTAGTGGCATTCATCTAGCTGAGTAGGAATGCTTTTAGGAGACTTCGTGGTAAGTTGTTTACTTGATTCGATCCGCAGCCCACAGAGTTTTCCTTCCCTCTTTTTATATATGCCTTTGTATCTTTTTAATTTGCGGACAAACTTTATATTCAGTTGAGATCTTGTACCCTTATTAGATTCTTGTGATTAGTTGTGATACTCGGGCTTTGGAAGAGTTGTTGAAACAATTGTGGTCATGTGTAGACCCTATCTTAGATTTATGCACATTTGATATTTGAGTTATTTCGTATTTCGCTTTTGCTTATATGCTATGAATCAGTTAATAGATTAATAATTAAATTTTATTGTTGATGTGAGAGTTTGCTTGCCTAGCAAATGTGTAATGTGCTATAACGGTCTTTGGTGGGATTTTGGACCGTGACAGATAGTGCGCCTAGAAATTTTTGGAGCAATGGAACAAGATTCTCTCTCTTATTCTTTCAAAGAAGTTGCTTTCTGGAAGTCCCTCTAATGTGCTAAAGTTTTTCAAAAAATAATAACAATGAGCCTAGAATAATATAATTTTCTAGTGGTTTCTCTATTTGTAAGCAAGGAATGACACTTTCGTTAAAGTCAAAATCAATTCTAAGTAGGATTTAAAACTAATTAAAAATAAAAACCAAATATCAAAAGAATAGAATTAGGTCGTTGGACCTTTGGCGGTACAATAGGCAACAACCCAACATCAAGAGGCGTATACAAGAGTTGAATTTGACCGGTTCGAGTTCAGAATTCTATCGTATACCATTTCATTTTTGAAATTTGAAATTTATTTTTTATACTTATTTTGTGAGTTTTTAAATAAAGAGAAAATATAAATTAAAGTTACCAGTTAGATGAACTCATAACGTATTCGCTAGGTGTCACTTCATTCGCAGGATTTTATCAAAGGGGGTATAGGTATAAATATAACAAGAGAAGCTGGCACCATCTTTTCAGTTTGATGGACTCAAATTTAGGATCCGACATGTAAATCGAGCAAATTTTGTTTGTGCCGGTCCACATGCAGGACCCATGAAGTGAAGTTATTCCAAGGTTTATAATGTGATGCAATAAAGTTCTGTCTTTTATACTGGTTTTGTGATTTACTCTATAAATTATGTTGTCAAAATAAAATTAATGGTTTGGCGTTAAGATTTTGTTGTTTTGTTTGGATAAGGCATAAGCGCGCTTGGGGAAATTCAACTTATTTTGTCTTCGGCCCATTCTTGCGTTTCTTGCTTATTACTAGGAAATTAGAGGGACAATCCTTTATGAAGTGAAAAATAGAGTTCTTCCTTATTAATGAGGAACACAATTTGAGATATCCATTAGCTTATCCAACAAATACTAGAAGTTATTATCTATAAGTTGAAATATAAATCCGTTGTTGGAGGTAAAAGATTTTCAGTGGTTGAGAAACGAAGTACGGTTATGCATATGCAATGGCAGAAAAGAAGGTTAGGCGAAAAAAACAATATAAAGAGACAAATCGTGTTAAAGACATAAAAGTGTGCACTCTCTAATAACTTACTGAATAAATGATTAGAAAAAATATAGAAGAGAAAAGAAGGAGAGATACATAGATTTGTAATCATGCTTATTTATACTGAACATTGTTATTATTAGTAACAAATTAAATAGAAAAAAAATTGCTTTGAAAATGACATGACGATAAGAGTAAGAAATTCAACTCTCAATCACCTCAATGTTTGTTAAATTTCGTCGAAGGTTCAAAGTTTTGTGTAGTTACTAAGAAAACATTGAAGTGAACCTCTACATCAGCTCTCCTGAGAGAATCTTTTACCTATTTGAAGATCCCATGATGAGACACAAAAGACAAACCAACTCATAATTACTATACACACGACATAAGTATATATATGTCAATTACACATATTTTTGGAATTAAGTCTTTATATATGTCAGGGATTTCACTTGTACATACAATATCAGTGTTTTAAAACTTATTTTTGGAATTAAGTCTTTATATATGTCAGGGATTTCTCTTGTACATACAATATTAGTCTTTAAAAACTTATTATAACAGGTAAACTGCAATATTTGATCGACACGTTATTTATCTTCTGTCATCATGGAAATCTTTTGGTTATTTTTATAATAATAATGATATTTTTAATAATACTTCGTCTAAACCCATAAAATGCATTATTTGGTTAGTATTTTAAGAAAAGTTAATTTTGGTAAAGAATCCAGCATAACTTATACAACGTTTGGTTAAGTTTCTTCCTTTTTTACCCGTATAAAATAATACACGTATAAAATAATAAGGAAATTATTGTATTATTTTATGGGGGTATAGAACGTAGAATAAGAATATATATATTAAATAATATATGGATAAAAAATTCAAATGATAAAAGTACCCTCTATCAATTTAGAATTAAAATATTTTCCTTCTCAGAGAAATGAAAGGACTCTCGGTATTAGATACATGTATCACTCACTGTAGTTAACAAATGTTTTTTAAACAAAAGTGAAAAATATATTTTAAATTATAAAATATGAATTAATTTTAAATACAACAAAATTAAGCATTCAAAAATAATTAATCCTTGCATAATTAATCTAGGCATTACAATCTCTGCATAACTACTACCTACATTTTAATTTGTGCATAATTATACCCGATGACCCATAGTGTGGTTCATAAGAAATCTCAAAAATAAAAATATAACCCTACGTCCAGAGATTGTCCACACACAAGGGTACTCAGTCACCCATCTACCATCCTCCACATGAGAATAAACATCATCAAAATTCTCTTTGCAAAGTTAAGAAAAAATAATATTCGTAACAGAAAAATCAGTCACAACAAGCACAAAATTTGATATTGCAAAAATTTTGTGACGAAAGAATGCAACATTCATAAACTTCATCATAATACATATTGGTAATAAATATAACAACATAAATCTGTAATTGTCTTGGCGTGAAAGGCCATGAAATAGAGATTGATGTGGAATTGTTCATTCAAATCCTTAATTATATATAGTGATTAGTGGACCCTCGCCACATAATAAAAACTTGATCAAAAATAGCCTCCATGCAGGAGACAGCTTGACTCGTGGACCTCTTATACCCTTAACAGTATATTCATCAATAGAAATAGCAATCAGTTTCACATCTTTTTTTACACCAAAGAAGTAGCAAACAACTTTATTTTTTACCCAGCCTTCTTTTTTTACTGCCACTTTCCAGGAAAAAAATATCAAAGTACCAGACAAAAGAAAATAATGCATACACTAGAAATGGTAATACACCTGCATGAGCTTGCCTGCCATGTCCAGCTCTTGTAACCAAAAAGAAAGTGTCCCTTTCTCTTGGAAACACGTTGAGTTAATTTCTCTTGGAAAAGAATATCTAACTTTGAATTTATTCCCAATAAAAGAATGGTCGATTTAATATATAAACGCTTAAAATATTAAAACTGTTTAACGTTATTACTGTTAATTGTTACTTGTTATAGTAGGTTATGTTCTTTATTTTCTAGATAAATGATTCTAGTATTTATTACGAGCATTTAGTTATGCTTATCTTTTACTGATCTGATAGTAACAAAAATTTATTTACACTATCAGCATATAAAAGTTAAACTCATAGACAAATATATAGAATTCCAAAGTACAAATTGGGAAAATCATTTTCAATCCTTTCCCATTTTCAAGATTAATATTTTTCTACAAGTGACAATACAATAAACAGTCCCCCTATATAGTAATACTCAAATCCCAATCTTATGTGAAAAAGATTGGAATTAATGGAAATCCATGGGTTAAAATCATTCTAATACTAAAAGATATTGGAAATAATAGAAAGTGGGACAAAATATAAGGGGTTAACATAATTCTAATACTTCAATCATTTTAACCTATTAGATAGTAGTAATTAGTACTAATAGTTGGTAGTGGTAGTTGCCATTAGAGCTTGAAATCAGAATTAAAGGAAGCAGATCATGGAGTCACCCATCGGAGAAGAAAAGTCATGAACTTGTCAATGATGAAATAATGTTGTAGCAGCAGTTTTGCTACGGTCTTTGCCCAAAACAATCCAGTGAGATTCTTGGTGGTGAAATTGCTACTGTCACTGATGAAGAATGAGCTCCTGAATCTGGTGGAGACCCTAAAAATTAAATCAGAATAACAAATCAGCTTACTTATACAGTAATTACATATATATGTTAAAAAATCTGATAACCTGATAAAAATGGTAACTAACATATTATGACAGGTTAAACAACATTAATACTCTGGTATATATAACTTAAATACGTTGTAATTAGGAAAATTCCAAAATATCAAGTATCATGTTGTAATTTCTTTAATTTCATAATTCCTTTTTAATGAAGAAGATTAATAACCTTTGAACCAAAAATGTCTTACTTGCAAGACTGTCCGATGAGGAATTTCTGGTACTGCCAAGTTGAGACTTGTTGCTGTTTTCTATATTTGCTTGTTGATTTTTTCTCCTCCTTCTGTTATGATCTGCCAAACGTTTCCTGCAACTTCTCTTCCCGTTATCAAATTCCGACAGCAGATGGAACCTGTTTTTTTCAAGAATATTAACAAGAATAAATCATAAAATGCAACAGTACGGGAAAATTAAATAGAGAGAATCGTACTAAAGGCATTCTCTGTGTTGATTATAAGCTGATGAGTGTTTAAATCAGAAACCAAAATGGAAAACGCTGTATTTCCTATAAGTAGTAAAAATAAACAAGTACGTAATACGGGAAAACGGGGTAGCAAACTCATGGGGGAACATAATCTTAGGGACTGAAATACCCTCGGGATCAACCCCCATGTACGACTTTTCAATTTCCAAAACTCCAATCATTTGCTCCTAAACACACCCCAAGTGCATTTTCGTCATATTAACATTTTCCTCCCGTTCCTACTACATTTTCTGTTCATCTTTTTATTGGTATGTTAAACATACTTTGGGATTGAACAACATTCATTTTATGTAAACAGTTTTTGGAGTATGAAAGTCAAGACACTTGGTTGCCGAGCAAAAATTCTTCAATTTTTTTAAATAAAATTTATATTTTTCAGAATTACGGGTAAAATTACTACTAACATAGTTAAATATATATAAAAAAAATATACTAGTAAAAGACACTGTTTGATGCTCAAAACAGTAATAGTGTCAGATAAAATAAGATATTTTATGTGTTTATATTTATGTGCAAACTCAAAATATATATGTGGAAAAAATGGAAGTATTTGTAGAGAAAGGGNTATATATATAATAGTATTAAAAGAAACTGTTTGATACTCAAAACAGTAATAGTTATATATATGTACAAACTCAGAATATATAGCGTCTAAATTTTGGATACCGCAAAAAACGTATGGAAAAAATGGAAGTATTTGTAGAGAGAGTGATGTNTTGTAGAGAAAGGGATGTATTTTAGAGAAATACAACCTGCTACACTGTTGGCAGAATCGTTGAGTCAAGCCAGCGGCAATAACAGTAGCAGCTTTGGAGTGAAATTCACAAACTTTGTGTCTCCTATGGTAATGTTTGGCATGTGTTAGATCAGCATTACAGCCTTCAGCTTGACATCTAGGAGTATTCACTACTGAACCACCTTCAACCACTGCTCTAGTACGTCGATAAAGTCGGTTCACAAAATCATCTTCAGACGAAGAAAAATAAGTCCGCCCGCCCAAATTCAATCCAATCCGACTCGTGCTCGCAAAATCACGAACCCCGGGGGCACCACCCATAAACTGTGGTTCACTTTTTGGGACCATTATGAACCCAGTATTTGGTTGTTGGTGCAGTGAGGGCATGGACCCTTGAGTGGGTGGGTGGTGTGTGTTATAATTAGTGGTTTCATAAGCACAACGTGGGTCGTAAAGGCTAGTGTTGTTCAAATGGGGGTGAAAAAATTGGTGATTTTGTTGTTGGTGACTTGTGTTAAGAAAATGGTGTTGTTGGGGATTTAGTAAAGATGGGTTTTCAGTGAAAGTTTGATGACTAGTGTTTGCAAAAGGGTCAAAGAACTGATGGTGATTTTGGTCATTTTCTTGATTTGGTTCTTCCCCTGAAAGCATAACCGATGATTGTTCTCCCCAGTCATAGTCCAACATTGCTAATATTATTCTTTTTGCTGCTTTGATCTGTTCCTATAACAAAACAAATTGCACTATTAAGTTGTGTACAAATACAAAGAAAAAAAATGAAGAAGAAATAATTTTTAGAAATTGCGAATCAAATAATTTTCATCGATATAACTAGACTATAAGCTTTCACGATGCTGATAAGCCGTCTACAAATATAAAAACAGTTTTTGAACATTCTTTTTAACTAAGGAAAGGGATAGGAGGAGGAGAAGAGAAAGCAGTGCCAATTGAACTAATACCTCTTATATGGAAATATTTCACAGTAAACTATGACTTTTGAAACTACACCATCTTTGTCTAAAANGATAAAGTCGGTTCACAAAATCATCTTCAGACGAAGAAAAATAAGTCCGCCCGCCCAAATTCAACCCAATCCGACTCGTGCTCGCAAAATCACGAACCCCGCCCATAAATTGTGGTTCACTTTTTGGGACCATTATGAACCCAGTATTTGGTTGTTGGTGCAGTGAGGGCATGGACCCTTGAGTGGGATTGTAAGAGGTTTCATAAGCACGTGGGTCATAAAGGGTAGTGTTGTTCAGATGGGGGTGAAAAAATTGGTGATTTTGTTGTTGTTGGTGAGTTGCGTTAAGAAAATGGTGTTGTTGGGGATTTAGTAAAGATGGGTTTTCAGTGAAAGTTTGATGACTAGTGTTTGCAAAAGGGTCAAAAAAGTGATGGTGATTTTGGTCATTTCCTTGATTTGCTTCTTCTCCAGAAAGCATAACCGATGATTGTTCTCCCCAGTCATAGTCCAACATTGCTAATATTATTCTTTTTGCTGCTTTGATCTGTTCCAATAAATTTAAAAAATTAAATTGCACTATTAAGTTGTGTACAAATACAAAGGAAAAAAAATGAAGAAGAAATAACTTTTAGAAATTTTGTTTTGGGGGAGGGGTAAGAGGAGTATAAAACAGAGCGAATCAAACGATTATCATCGATATAACTAGACTATAAGCTTTTAAGCCGTCTAAAAATATAAAAACAGTTTTTGAAACTTTTTTTAACCAAGGAAAGGGTTAGGAGAAGGAGGAGAAGAGAAAGCAGTGCCAATTGAACTAATACCTCTTATATGGAAGATTTTCACAGTAAACTATGACTTTTGAAACTACACCATCTGTGGTCTAAAAATCAAGAATAGTTGGGGTATTTCTTGAAGAGGGAAAGGGGGTAAGGTGGAGTAGGGGGTGGGGGTGGAGGAAATCTGCCAGCTTTAAAAGAAGAAGATTATATGAGTTGAAAAGGCTGTAAGCCAAAGACTTTACTTTTTAGCATTCAGTGAGAGTTTCGAGTAGGCTTTATATATAGGAGTAGAATATATAACAAAATATTAAGTAGAATTTTCTCTATCTATATTTTAGTCTAAAGGAAAAATTAAGTTGGTGCTTGAAGTTCTAGTGACATGTCGGGCTATTAGGGAGTTGTATTTTTTTCCTTGAGATTTGAGAGAAAGAGAAAAGAGTTGGTTATGGAGTTTGGAGAGGAGTTAATAAAAGGAGTTCGGAACTTTTTTTGTTGTCTTTTTTGATAAAAGATATGTAAATAAATACAAAAAAAAGTTATATTTATATATATAACGTCAAAACACACCACGTTATATCTTAACGATAACTTTTGCCGTTAAGGTATAGCGTGGTGTATTTCGCGTTATATGTACTGACATTTACTCACTTCACCTTATAGAAGTTTGGAACTCAGAGATAATGATAATAAAAGTAAGCCATTCAATACAAACCCTATGGTACAATTAACACTTGGCCTTTCAACTCACTTGGAAAATAAAAAAGAAAAGGAATCACACTTTTATCAGCTTCTTTCTTCAATAATTCTCTCTCCGTTGTGTTTATTTGAGGACTCTCTAGCTGAGAATAACTACTGACTGATGAGGCGGCTTTGCTCAGAGACTAGTGATTGTGTAAAAAAGTGCAATTGTATAATGACTATTTTACCCTTTCTTGTGCTCGGAAATTTCTCTGAAGCCTCTTATCTTGAAAGTTTGTGGCGTTTGGGAAGGGACCAAATAATGCTGCGTCTTGTCTTATACAAGGCAATTTAGTCCAACATTATTATCATAGAGAGGCAATTTTTTAGTCTTTGAAAACTTAAACGAATTTTAAAAAATATTTTTGAGTCAACTTTTCTAAAAATCCAGCTTCATGTTAAGCTTTTGCTATGTGAAACTACATTTTACAGTTGTCTGTATATTTGAGCAAGTGTTGGGCCCCTAAGGCCCAATATCTACAAGATAAAGTTTCAAAAATGCATTTTAAGATGGATGCAAAGCTTGCAAGATTCAGACGAAAATGATTACATTTGACAGAAGATACAACTTAAAATCCTTTTTTTTTAAATATTGAGTATTGGAATGACAAAGAGTGTATGAATAATATTGAGGATTCATATAGTTAATGCAGATTGAAATTGGTAGTCTAACTTATAAATAAATGAAATTGACTTTATTTAATCAATTTAATATTCATATTTTTATCAAACTTTTTTATAATGGTGCATTGCTCCATGGGCCATCTTGTGCATATCAACCATTCACCGGCTATCTGCTACCTCTTATTGACAGAGGTACCAAATAACCGTCACAAAGGCTTAATTAGGTGGTGTTTCTGGCAACTTTCAACATTAAGATAATGTTTTTCATTTTTCAAATTATCATTCATCAATTGTTGTCATTATCTAGTACCAAGTAGAATGTCAAAAATACTTTCATACCTATAGAATATATAGTTAAGATCCAGAATTCTGGAGTAAAAAAATTCGCCACATATCTCAATCAACTTAAACAAATTCTTCAAGAGACTTTATTGTTTCAATGTTATCATATTATTGCCATCAAATTGCTTTGTTCTACATATTACGTGTTTCTTTTTACGTTCACTGTGTTGGGTTAAACTAGCCCAAATACACTCTTAACATAGTGTGATATTGTTCGCTTTGGACCAGGCTCGTACGGTTTTCCCCAAAAGGTCTCACATCATTAAGAGATCCTTACACCTTATATATAGGCTCTTAATCTTTTCAGCTACCAATGTGGGACTTTGTTAACACACCTAACAATCTCCCTCTCGAACTAAGTTTCACGTGGCTCATTACCACTATTCACGGGTCTCCCCCCTCGAACTAAGTTCCATGTGACCATTGCCACGATCCACGAGTCAATTTTCGAGATTCACTGTGTGCCACCCATATTGTTAGCGTATTATGGCAACCGAAGTCCGCAACTAGCTTCTTCTTGTGTGTGCACCGCCCCGCACCATCACTTTGCCATCCCCATACTCGTCCCGCCAAACATGGACTCTAATACCAGTTGTTGAGTTAAATTAGCCCAAATACACTCCTAAGACGATGTGATATTGTCCGCTTTCGACTAAACCCGCACGGTTTTTCCTAAAGGCCTCATACCATTAAGAGATGAAAATTTTACCTCCTATAACAAAGGTATACATCTTTTTTATTATAAATCAAAATTATTTTAAAATATTATTTTTTTATAGCTACCTTTTATATTTTATAGCAAAATAAGTATTTATGGTATATACTACCATTGAGGCATGAAACAAGACATGAAATATGCTATTTATGTTTTTTCTCTCTTAGACAAGTAGACATACCTATTTTTAAGGTGATTGTCGTTACTGTATTCATGAATACATGGCGCGAATACATGTGAAAACATGCGCGTACAACTGGACTGCCCTAATTTTGAGCGCTTTTTACTGCTGTATTCATGAATACAGCATCGCAAATACATGTGAACACATGTGGGTACAACTAGACTGCCCTGATTTTTGACACTTTTTATTGGTGTATTCATGAATACATGCGCGTACAGTTGGACTGCCCTGATTTTAGGTGCTTTTTACTGCTGTATTCATGAATACATCAGCGCGAATACATGTGAACACAGGCGCGTACAGCTGGACTACCCTGACTTTAGGCGCTTTTTATTACTGTATTCATGAATACATGCGCGAATACATGTGAATACATGCGCGTACAGCTGAACTGCCCTGATTTAGGTGCTTTTTACTGATGTATTCATGAATACCGCGGTGCAAATACATGTGCATACATGCGTACAGCTGGACTACCATGATTTTAGGCATTTTTTGCTTCTGTATTCATGAATAGATGGCGCGAATACATATGAATACAAGCGCATACAGCTGGACTGCCCTGATTTTTAGGAGTTTTTTGCTGCTGTATTCACGAATACACTACCGTAACACCTGAATAGTAGTTATAGGAAGTAATTATGTATATGGTAGCTATAGGAAGTTAATAGACACTAAACAATGGTGGCTTCTGAAAATTCCTCTTAAGAGATCCCTTCATCTTATATGTAGGCTCTCAATTTTTACAACTACCAATGTAGGACTTTGTTCGCACATCCAACACATTGAACAACCTCAACTTATAGCCTGTTTGGCCAAGCTTCTTTTTGGCCAAAAGTGCTTTTTTGGCCAAAAGCACTTTTAGCCAAAAATTGAGGTGTTTGGCCAAGCTTTTGGAAGGAAAAAAAGTGCTTTTGAGGAGAAGCAGAAGCAGTTTTGGAGAAGCAGAAAAAAGTAGCTTCTCTCCAAAAGCACTTTTTTGAGAAACACTTTTGAGAAAAATACACTTAGAAGCAATTTTTTTAAAGCTTGGCCAAACACTAATTGCTGCTCAGAAGTGCTTTTCAAACTAATTAGCCAAACACAAACTGTTTCTCACCAAAAGTACTTTTGAGAAAAGCACTTTTGAAAAAAAACATTTTTCAAAATAAGCTGATTTTTGCAGCTTGGCCAAACGGGGTATTAATAGGAATTATAAAATTTGGAACCTTTAATAAACTAATGATACTTCTAAAATTTTAAAAAATATATATATAATAAAAGTAAATAGTATGTCCTTCAATTTTTTGGGATCTATGCTTTTGTTCTTGAGTCGGTCTTGAGTCAACCCAATTGATTTGGAAATAGCATAGTAGTAGTAGTAGTTATTGCTCTAGAAACTTTTGAATCTAAGATAGGAGGCAAGGAAGTTAGGAGTTCAATCATACCCCCAGCCCTAGACGAACGCACCCACAGGCAACATTAGAGCCCCATTGATAGGCTGGGGCGGGGAGGAGGAATAATCCCCGTCAATATTTAAATTGAACAATGTATAGGACGGGTTGATTTAATTTTTTATTTACCAACTCAAATTAATTGTTGATTTGTTAAATGTGTAAATCAAATCAAATAAATAAAGTTTCTTTTCTCAATATCAAATTTTTAACTTTTTTTTCTTTCGATTTTATCAATAAT